GTAGCATATATCAATTTTAGATGAAAATTTTAAAATACCATACATTTCTATATAGAAATGATCTACATTACTCCCTATCCTTAAATATTTTTTTATTTTTATTTTTATTTTTTTTTGTTAGATATGTATTTTTTTTACAGTTATAATGAGTTTTAGAAGTTGTACAAAAAAGATACTTAATGTATCTAAAGCATGTACCAGGATAATAATTTTTGCTATTAGAAAAGATTTGGTTTAAAAAATATATATCAAACAAATATATATAAATACATACATATAAGTCTTGATATAGTATATATTAATTAAACCAGGATATTTTTACTCAGTTACTTATTGATTTGTATTTTAATATTTTACTAGTGATACAAATCATTAAAAATTTTGCAATTAATTAGTTGTTAACTAAATGATTATTTAATTTTTATTCGATTTTAATATAAGTTGTCAAAAATTTTTTAATTAATTAGTTGTCAACTAAGCCAACTAATCGATTTTTGATTTGTATTACTATATTATACTCAAAATTTCTGATTCCCAAATACAATATGCTAACTACAGCAATTTAAAAGCACAATAAATAAAGCAACTTGGCAAAAGCTTACCAATTCAAACATAACCTAATGCTTTATTCTTGATTATAACCAGGATATCTAAGATTATCCAAGCTATTAGGTAAACATGAATTGCTTAGTATGCTATTCAAATAATTCAAGTAGCCTTGCTAATCCAGACTAGAGGTCTGACCTAGTCAAAAAAATGACAATTCAGATATTCATTTGATCAATTTTTTTATATCCAAATAACCATTAAAAAATCTGAATAAATATTCGATTTATTCGATGAGATTCAATGATATTCAATATATATTATCTTCTATTTTAACTTGTTGAAATTGTCTGTTTCACATTATATCACAGAATTCAAAATGACTATAATAGAATCTTTAGTTTGCTCGTAAGTTTTAGATCAACAGCCTTCAGATTTCAGCAGTTCTGTTTATTAGTACATTAAAAAATTAATATTCTTGTAAATCATTATTCAATAAGCTTAAGATCTGGTTGGAGTTTTCTTGAACTTTTCTTAACCATATTGTATGTATAAATCTAAATTTTCTATAGAAGGGTCTGTTTTTTGCAAAAGATCGATTGTTAAGATCTTTAATTTGTTTGGTTATTCTTATTTTTAAAGGTTTATTTCGAAAAGATTATGCAATTAGAGACTAAGAAAATCATTATATAAATATTTTTATTATTATACGAACTTTTTCATATTTTTTTTTAATATTCTATTCTGTTTATTTAATAAAAGTAGATTTTGTCAGATTAACAATTATTTATTTCAAACAATCATTTATAAAGAAAGGAATAGCAAAGATAAAATTAGAAATCAATTTTATACACTTATTATTTTAAGAGTAAAAAAAAAAGAAAAAAAAGAAAAAAAAAGAAAAGAAAAAAAAAGAAAAAAAAAAAAAATAGTAAAGAAAAAAAAAAAAAAACTTTTACCAAAAATTTCACTCAATTGAATTATAAACATTATCTAGTTCACTATTGTTTTATTTTAAAAATATCATCCTTTCAAATAATTTTGGCTTTAACATCATTCTTCTAACAGTTATTATATTGCTAGCATCACTGAAAAGTCACTCACTTGGAGTTGAAATCATGGGTATTACAAGATACTGTCTTGCAAGCTTGCTTAAGAGGAGAAAGAAAGTTTTTTGAGTATTTTACTAGTGAAAAGGGTTGTATTTGTATGAAATTTTAGGTAAAGAAAGGTAATGACTAATTTCATCATTTTTATCGTTTGATTCATCAGAGATATTATGTATAAAAATTGATTTGAAGAATGTTTTTTGATAGATTTGGCATTCTTTCTAATTATTTTCAGTTGAATATTATTCATCATAAAAATCTAAAGGCTGATTTGTTTGAGTTAGTGAAGATTGACAAAGTGATTTAAGACTATTATATTTTTCTTGAAGGGCAGTTCTGACTTGGAGTTGTTGGGTTGATATTGCAAATCTTAATTTTTTAAATCTCGGATCCAGAAGGTATGCAAGAAATAATTCTTCATTCGACAAATCTCAATAATGTAAAAGAGCATTATATAATGTATTTTTAATTTTATGTTGCATATTAGTAATGTCAATAGGTATATTGATTTTAATTTTTCTTCCTTTAGGGCCACCTTTTTTCTCTTTCTGTGCATCAACAAATTCAACATTATCATCAAATTCTAGGTCATTCATTTCAAAATTTATTGTATTATTTGATTTATCTGAACCTTCTATAGAGCAACCTAACTTATTCATCAATTCTAAAATAGATAGAATCATACAGAAAAATGTAACATATTCAGAACCACCAAGTGCTTCAGTAACTTCAAAGAAAGGATCCAAAATATTAACAATGTCTCACATTAAATCCCACTTATTATTAGTTAATTGTATTTCCTTTAACCTTTTTGCATCTTTTTTTGCTTCAGTTGCACTTGAAATGGTTAAAGTTGCTAAGACAATGTTGATGGCATCTTTAATAAGTGAAGTTATTCACAAGCAAGAAATTATGAATTCCAACAAGTAGATACATCCATTTTTGCATAAAGATATATTGAAGTTTTAGTAATTATCTATGATAATAGATATTTTAGTTATTAGATAGCTATAATATAAAATATAGAAATCATGAAATGTTTTGTTATTATAAGATTATCAATAGAATATTTCAAGCTACAATATAGCATATAAGTCACTCTAGTTTAAAAGTTAAGTGATCTGTTTTATTGTAACTTTAAATATTCTATTGATAACCCTATATTAGTGAAACAATTGTTAATAAACATAGGTTGTTGTTTAAATAACACATACTGGTTAAAACATTAAATTTTAACTAAATAATACTATGTAATATATAGCACAAATAATAACTTAATTACTACTTAATTATTAAATCTGTTAATATACATATATTACCTAGTAATTAAGTAGTAGTTATGTTATTATTTGTACTGTATATTACTTAATTAATATATATATTTTTTTAACCAGTGACATATTCTAATTATTTTTATTAAAACTTAAATATTATATTATTATCTGAGATTCTGAGTGTTTTTTGAGCATCTTCGAGTCATTCATTTTGCTTTGGTGCTATGAAAAAATTAATTAATTGCTTAGCCTGTACTATGAGTGCTTTGACAGGCATCAAACCTTTTCCAACGATGAGTTGTAATATGTGGGCTGAACAGGAGATTCTTACTATATTACTTATTTTATTAATTGCAGCTTTTATATTAGCCCTATTATCAGTTGTAATTGAATAGATCTTTCCTGTAAGACCCTATTTTTCAATTACTTCTTCCAATTTTTCTTGGATGACATTGGCAGTATGAGGGTATCTGACATATGTAAGGGAAAGCAATACTTTGTAGATTTTGAAATCAGAATCTAGCCATAAGCAGGTAATATCAAAATACCCTTATCTGCTATAAGATGTTCACAAATCAGTGGTTAGTAAACAATACGTTATAGAATCTCTAAGCTTTTTTAATATAATCTCAGAAGATTTATTATATAATATATGAATTATTTGCTTTACACATTTTTTTATCAGGAAAACTAAACATTGGATCTAATTCTTTTATGAACTCATGGAAGTTAGGGCTTACTACAAGACTAATTAGTTGTGCATTCAGAATAAGAAACTTAACAAGAGCTTTAACCAACTTATCATTCTTCGATTTAGTATGTAGACAAGAAATGGATCTTGCAAAAAAATCAATTTTAATTTGTGCAGTCTAGATAAGAAAATTTTATTATTAAATGATTTTAACAAAAACCAATATAGTCAATTCTCTCTACTGAACCCCTGGGTTGGTTTTTTAAAAAAAAAACAGTTTAAAAAGCATACTTAATATTTAAACCAAATTTCATAATAAAATTTAAAATTTTAAAATTTGGTTTATACAGAATTAAATATTCAGGGGTTAGTTTAGAGAGAGTGGACTGCAATTGCTATTTAAAAAATAATTAATACATCATCTTGGCATAATTTAGGTCTGTCTGGTGTAATAGTATAGATGTTTATTAAATGAGATATTAAATTTGAGGTTGATTTGCCTACTATCTTTATCACACACCACATTTTTTTTTTGAATCATCTAATATTTGACAAATGCTATATATAACTTCAATTTTGATATTTTGTGATCCTTTTTTAGTTTCAATTACATTTTCTAATTCAAAATATTTCCACACCTAGCTTCATTTTTTTGATCCACCTTTATGACATAATTTTGTTTTTTTATATACTGGTTTTTTAGATCTTTCATTGTTGCTTTCTTCATTTGTATATATATTTTCTGATACTGGGCTTTCAGGTTGGTTGGCATATAGTTCATCGAATGTCTAAACTGACAAAGGGGATTGTAAACCCTCTTCTTTTATCACAAAATATTAAACCAAAATCTTAAACATTGGTAAAATAATGGAATGCAGGATTTAATGTATGTATTTACAATAATTATTATTTTAATTGCTCAAAGTAACAAAAGTTTTATAACATGAGATAATAATATAATTTAAGGGATGAGTATTATCTTTAGTATTATTTTTACTATATAGAAAATTGATTTGTTATTTGGTTCTAATTTTGAGGCCTTTTATATTTCTTATACATCATTTTAATATTTACATCTTATAATATTCAAATTAGGCAAACAATAATCTTCACCCATTATTGTATGAAGAACAATGCATATTTTTTATAGTTAGTGCATTGTAAGCATGTTAATGATATGCTTTGGGATACTGACTGACTATTTTACGAATTCTGTGCAATTTTTATGGAATATTCAATTATGTACAGAATCAATATGGTCTGCAACATTGGCATGTGTCCATTCTCAACAAAAGGCAGAAACACAAAGACTTGTTCTAAAACTGCCAGGCACTTTTGTGGCACAGACATGAAAGTGCTAGATATAAGTTGAGCACCTTGTGCTTGTGGACATAATGGTTCTGGCTTAAATTTCCTGGCATGGGCATTTGCAGGACCTTAAGAGTCAGGTTAGCATTTTCTCAATGTGTCATTGATACACTATCAATACAATAGCCTAAAAATGATGAAAGAACTATATTAAAAATTCAAGACCTTTGTTGAATATATAACTTATTTTGGATTAGGCTTCTAATTGTATAATTGATTTCGAAATTTAGCAAATGCAACAATAATTTATGAATAATTATTGTTGCTATTTCTTTTTAAATTACTACGAGATTGTAAGTATCTCTGGCTTTAGATAGATATGATGGATTCCTTTTATCTGGCTTAAATAACTACAAATAAAGCTTACCATTTTGATTGATTATTTGTAAAAATGGAATTTACAAAAAAAACTATTTATGATTTGATTATATTAAATTTATGTAATGTAAGTATTTTAAGTTTTGATAATAAAATTTATGATAATGCAATGTATAATACTAATATAAGCAGAGGCTTTTTTCAATTTTAGTAGCTACTCTGACATGCTTATTACATCGAAAGCATTATGGTGTGCTGAAATTAACCTGAGTTTGCATAATTCTGAATATCACAAATAAAAGCAAAATTTCTGATTATACAGTTCAAAATAGTGCCTTCACTGCTATCACAATATTATTGTTACTAAAAATCATCGCTACTATCGATACAGGTGAACTAAACAAATAAATGTTTTTTTTTATTTATTGTGTTATAATATTTTAATTAATTTATATTTTTTCTTTTGTATAATGATACAATTTTATTACAATAAAATTTTGAGAAATTTGCATATATTTAATGTGATACCTAGCTAAATTCTTGGTAAAGATCTGCATCAATCAAATTTATCAGTAGTATCCTTTTTTTTTTTTTTCTTGATATTATGTTTTACAGGTCTTTGAAGTATTTTATACACTCTCAACAAGACAATTTAAACATTCTCTATGTCTATAATTGTTGGGTTAATTCTTTTTCTAGTTAGTTCACTATTTATAGAATTCATTAGGACAACTTTCTTATTAGTGGTTTAATTTAAGTTCACTAAATAATTATATATTTACAAAGTTCAATAACTCTGGATATTACAATAGATCTTAATGTTTCCTGTATATTTCTTACAGTTAGTAATCTGCGAAATAGTTTGTTTTAAGTAGAAGTTAGAATATTAGGTTTGTATTTTTAAAGTATGAATTAATTTTTGTGTTTATATTTGCATTATTTATATATTTAAATACTAACATGCTATTTTTTTTTTTGACAGTTAGTATTTAAACTATTTGTAAAAATACTCTAATTTATTTTAATAAATATTTAGTATTTAATTGTATTTGAGTTTCATCCAAGTTTTCAAGTATCTTAATCTGGCTGCCATTTATGAATCATCTAAATGCAGCCTGTTAAGACCATGTATTAAGACCTGCATTGCATTTATAGTATAAGATATATTAGGTGAACTAAAGACATCATATAAAGGCATTCCTGTGCTGAAATACTTGCAGTAAATACATTATACCAAAAGCACAAAACTGAAAGTTGAAAGTGCACAAAAATGTTGAAGTTTAAAGTGATACTGAAAGTATTAGCATTTTAGTTTAAATAGTTCATTTTCACTGGTTTACCCTATGTCACTAGCAGTTATTTTACCGACTTCTAATTCTAAACAACATTAACTTTAAATTTAACTTTAAACTGGACCAACCCTATTTGTTGAAGTGGTTGTCTTGTTGGGAAAATGATATCCATCATATTTTTACTAATTGTAAATAAGTATGAAAAGCTTCATATAGTTGTAAGTATTTTTATTTTATTTTTATTGTTAAGTCTAATCTTGAAATTTGATTTACCAGTAAATTTTTTTGTTATAATACTTTTTGTAAGCAATCTAATAACTTTTGATATATAGTTCTTGACTTTTAGTAACATATTCAATTCCTTTTATCAAATAATTAAATATTATTAAGTTCACTTAATCTAATCATGGATCTTGAGATCTTTTCTTTAAGTGAAAAGGTCTGAATTGATGAACCAGTGATTAGAATTAAGTGATTTTACTCTATTCACAAAAACTAATTATACAGGATCTTTTGACATACTGCTATCTTATAACATCTAAGATAAGAATAGATGTGAATGATAGATGAAAATTTGGAAGTTAAAATTTAAGCTTTTACTGACATATTCGAATGCATAGCGATACTTATATACATATTACTGAAACTAGTTAAATTTGCAGTAAAAACTTAAATTTTCACTTTTGAATTTTTGTTTTAGTACTCATAAGACATCTTCAAGTTTACTTCTGTACTTAAGTGCAAAAAATGACCCTATTATTCATTTAAACTTTTAAAATAAAAATATTTAACTAAAGGTTGTATCAATATTTTTCGATTTACAAAAGTTTACTATTTGTATCACTGAATATCATCGAATATTCATTGAATTAGT